GTTCCATTTCCCAGAACACGACCCCGCTTTGGGCGTGGTGCAGGGCGCTGCAAAAAGTATTATATTCGTACTTTTTTTTTTTTTTTTTGTTTTTGTTTGTATTTCGCGTGAGTGTGGAAAAGAAATCATAGGTGGTGTTTGAAATTTAAGATGTCTGTGTACTTTCTCAATAAAGTTAAATTTAAAAAACAAAACAAAAACAAAGCTCAAGCTTTTAAACACATTAGTCGCTGATCTCCCCCACTCCACGCGCACCATACCCCTGCGTCACAGTTCGGCCCACGGTTTGAACGGCCCTTAGTAACCTGCATATCTAATGACTAAATACCTCTAGTTTACGGTGTCCAAACTGCGCCCTCCAGCTGTCGCCAAAACTTCAAGTCCCATGAGCATTGCAAGAGTGACAGTCAGCATGACTCCCAAATGGCAGAGGCATGATGGGACTTGTAGTTTGGCAACAGGTGGAAGGCCGCCGATCTGACACCCCGCTTCAGAACCACAAGTCCCATGAGGTATTGCAAGATTGACAGTCATGAGCATGACTCCAAAAAGGCAGAGGCTGATGGACTTGTAGTTTGGCAACAGCTGGAAGGCCGCCGTCTGCACACCCCTGCTTCAGAACCACAAGTCCCAAAACCCTTGCAGGCGACAGGAAACAAGCATGCCCCCCAAAGGCAGAGGCATGAGGACTGTAGTTTGGGCAACAGCTGGAGAGGCCGGGCCGGTCTGACACCCCTGCTTAAACCACAGCCCCCAGAGACATTGCAGGTGACAGGTACAAGCATGATCCCAAAGGCAGAGGCATAAATGGGACTTGTAGTTTCCCAAACAGCTGGAGGGCCGATTGAGTTCGGACTCCCCGTGGTTCTAAGATAGTGAATCTAAAAGGGACGGGGGGGTTTTTTTTCCTGTCACGACCCCGTCGCCGCCACCAACAGGCGACAACGCAAGCAACGCCTAACATAATACGTCACCCCACGGCGCAGACCCCAGCCCTCTCGACCAAACACGGCCCCCACGAACCTGGCCGGGGCCGATCCAATACCGCGTGTTGACGCGCAAAAAAGGCCCCACCCAGCGCCCCACCAGCGAGCCAGCAAGGGCTACATTCGGTGCCTGCACCTAAGCGCTTGTTACTGGGTCTGTTAATTTACGCAACTAACCCTCTACTGCCACCAAAACCACATTTGTCGAACTGGAAACCTCCCGTTATCAAATATACACTATAATGATTGAAAATTGATCTATATAGCCCCGGCCCCGGACCTGTTATGCAGAGATAAAACAAACAGTAGCGTCCCCTTCAAAGGCAGGGATTCGTGAATTGCAAGTAAGCGCCTAGAAACAGTTTTAACACTTTTAGAAAGAAAGATTTTTTTCTAACAGGGTCAAAAAGATGCAAATAAATATTTACAAAGATGTCACAAAAAATATATATATATGTATATAAGACACAGCAAAGAGATAATTAGGAAAAAAGGGTTACAGGGTTGATTACTTGCCCTTAGCCTGGGTTTGACAGATCCATGTTGTGAGCAGGGTGATTTTCTTTGATCTCCTCTTGTTTACCTATTGTTGATCGGGAGGATCTCCTCCTGTGTTAAAAAAAATAATTTCACTCTTCTTTGTTTTTGTCAGCCGGTCTTTTTGTAAAAAGTACCTCACAAAAGGCAGGGCCGCGGCTCTGACTACACCTTTTGGGACGTGGTCTCATTGGCGGAGCATATTAAACTAAAACCTGCCAGCTCATGTCCCATGATATGAAAACATATGTTTGACCCCTGAGGAATGTTCAGTGCTGGGTCCAGAGTTGATGATAAGGTGTCGCGGTGCTCTCTACTTAGCTTTGGCCGTGACCCCAACCCCCCCCAGTGACACCCCTCCGCAGACGGGCTGGACTCCACTTCTCATGTCTTAGCCTGGTTGTTCCATTACATCTGCAGGTGATACAGTCCGCCTCACAGGAATGCAGGGGGGGGGGGGGGCAGGGAGGATTGATTCAAGGAATACCTCAAATTACAAGTAAAGGAGGAACTCTGCTTCCAGGTTGGATGAGCTAGTTTGCTACAATCACTAGTACCCGCTAGAAACTGAAACCTATTAGATTTACTGTGATCGAAGGGCAATCGTAAAATTTAAAAACCAATAAAGCGAAATCAACTGGTTCCCGCCCCTCCTTTTGTACGATGATGGACGGGTGGACCCCCTCTCTTGCTCTGGGAGACTCATTGGGCGTCCTCCCCTTCTTGCCCTGCGCATAAAGCTGATCCGCTGATCGACCTCGTGCTGGGAACGAATGACAGCACCCGTTTTTGGCGTGTGCGTGGAAGACAGCCCTGACGTACAGGTATGCGATTGTGCCTGTACGAGCCGATTTGCCCGCGGTAAATGTGCTTGCAGCGGGTCAGGCAAGCGGTTAACCTTTTCGCTGCTCGACCTATTTTTGCACGTTTAAAAAATGATTTTTAGCCTGAATATCACAAAAAAACCCCCAAACTTTTTAAAACCGTATATTTTCTGGAAGCAGACACCCTAGACCAGGGTGTCAAACTGGCAGCCCTCCAGCTGCTGCAAACTACAAGTCCCATCATGCCTCTGCCTTTGAGAGTCATGCTTGTAACTGTCAGTTTTTGCAATGCCTCATGGACTTGTAGTTTTGAAAACAGCTGGAGGGCCACCAGTTTGACACCCGTGATCTAGAGAATAAAATAGTGGCAGTTCTAATTGTTTTTATGTCCACAATATTACCGCAAAGGTCTAGGGAAAGGAAGACTTCCATAAAAAAAACATTCAAGTGAATTTTAGGACAAACAAATGCAATTTTTTTTTTTGTAAAATATAAAAGACGAGGTTGTGCCGAGTATATAGATACCCAACATGTCAAACCTTAAATTTTGTGTGCGCCTGTGAGATGGCGGCAAACTTCAGTCCCCTATGTGTTCTATGGGGTGACGCTTCAAAAGCCCCTTATAGGTCATCAGATTAGTGTGACGGAGGAGGTCTGGTGATAGAATAATCGCTCTCACTCCGGCGTACGCAGCGATGTGTAACATGTGTAATCGAAGCATTCAGGACATAGGTGCACCGACGTGTGCGTTGGCGTATATGTAGAGGGTGATTTTTTTAGGGGTGGATTTTTTTGGTTGCTTTTGTGTTAGTTGTTGTTTGTCATGATTTTCTAACTTGTTTCTCCCTAACCTATTGGTCTTATTGCTTTTTGTTACTAACTTTTTGATGTTTGAGTTGCTTTTGTGTTTTTTTAATTTTGTTTAATTTTTGTTTTTTGTGTTTAATGTTTTTCTTTTTGTCCTTTCTTCTTGCTCTTTGTTATTCATTGTCGTTGGACTTTGCTGAGGTATTCTTTGTACTTAACTTTTTGCTTATTGTATTTCCCCTGAATGGTTATTAGTTTTTGTTTTTTTTTTTGAAGTCTGTATGATCCCCCGTAACTTTGTTGATCTTGATTGTTCCCCGGACAAGTTTGATTTGGTGCTGTTTGCGTGCGTAACTTGTTGTCTTTCTTGGTACATTGTGTTTCCCTGATCTTAATGCGTCCTTGTGATGTTTTGATTTGTTCCCCTTGGTTTTGCTTTTATTTTGCTTCCTAACTTTTCGGCTTTTTTTTGTTGTCTATTTTGATTTATGGCTCTTGTGTTTGTATTCAATTGTGTTTCAGGTGAGCTGTTGGATTGAATCTTTTTCGGTTTTTTTCCCGTTTGCTTTTTCTTCGTGTTCCCCTAACTTTTTGCTTGTTTTTTCCCGTTTGTATATTTTTTTTTTTCCTTTAGTTTTTTTTTTGCTTGGTTTTGGAGTGTTTCTTTCTGTTTCCCCAATTTTGTTTTTGTTTGCGCGGGGGGGGGGGGGGTTTTGATGTAATTTTTTTTCTAACTTTTTGCTTGGGTTATGTTGTTTTCCATCAACTTAGGGGCAGGGCGTGGTCAATACTCAATTTCATGGCGGGTTATTTTATCAGGTGTCTGTTTCGTTTAGTTATAAGGGCCAGCTGTATGTGTAGATTTTTGCGTCATTGTCCAGAGTTTATTCTTTTTTTTTTAACAATCACATCGCATGTCCCCTAAAACATGCTTGAGTTGTCTATTGCTGGGAAGAATAAATTTCTAGGATTTTGGAGGAGTTTTGGTTTTCCCTCGTACTCTCTGAGTTCTTTCTGCTTTATTAGTTAGTGGAATACATCGAATCTTTTGTGTGTTGAGTATGAGTCCTTTCTGGATCGCCAACTGTGATTCGTTGTTTGGGGGGGGGATGTTGGTTCCTAGGAAGTTTTTCTGATGCCTGTCCAGTTTTTGCCATCAGTCGCCTTCGTCTATTGTGAGGTTTTGTGCATATGGGGGATACAATGTTCCCCCTGTGTGTTAATTGTTTTTTTTTTTGTTTTTTCGGTGAGGTTCTCTTTACACGTTCGACATTTTGGTCTTTGTTTCTTCTATCCTATGTCTTCTGAGCTATTCTTATTTATATAGTTTGTGCTTTGTTTCATTTTGTTTACTGTTGCCGATTTATTCTCTTTTAAGTGTTAGCTATTTAGCAAAGTGTTTGTAGTTTTTGTAGTTGCACTTTATTACATGTAGCTTTTGTGGTCTACTCTTTATAGTTATTTCGTGATAGATAGTATCTAGTGTATCTTCATTCCTTATTCTAAGATCTGATTTATTTATGTATTCGTTTACATTAACTTCTTAGATCTGCAAGAAGAAATTTGAATATCACTTTTTTTCGTTTTCTTTGGGAGGGGTTGGTCGGGTTTTGATGCAGGCAGACTTGTTGGACCTATTGAATGCCATTTTCACGTGCTTCAAGTGTGATTGCTTTTTTAGAGTTCTTTTATTGTTTTCTTTGTCACTGAGGGAGCTACCTCTTTACCTTTGTTGTTTACTTTAACTCTTACTCAGTGTCTCTATACGTGTCCTATTGTTCGTTATCATTGTTTAACCACTTTTATTTCTGTTTTTTCGTGTGATGTTTTTCCCATGTTCTTTTAATTGTTAAGTTCTTCTAACTTTTTTACTATTTCTCATTATCTGCGCTAGTTTTGATTTTTTTTTTCATTTGTCATGCATTGTTTACTTGATGCCTATTACGTTGATATCGTTCATTTTGTTTGCATCCACTAATGTGTTGTATTATAATCTTTGCATTTGCTTTAGAATTACTCTGTTTTGGTGTTGTTTCATGTGTTACATTCTTGTTTATATCGTTCAAGATTTTCTGAAAGATGCTTGGGGATTTTAGGTGGGTGTTGTAGATCTGTTCAGCAGTTCAGACGTTATGATTGTTTCAGGATTACAATCACAGGGGTCTGCAGCTTCTGTTGTTATGTCGTGTTTTAATTACTGTAACACATAAAAAATTACAAAACAAACCTTCAAACAAAAGAAACAAAAAACAAATAAAATGTTAAAAAACATACAAAATGGTTCCAGAAATCTTTTGTTGTCTCACAACATTGTTTGTTATTGGTTCGTTCATAAAAAAAAACCCTTTCGACAAAAAATTTTTGTTCTTTAGGTAAAATCTTCACTTTTCTTTTGTTTTTTTCTTGTATGGGACTTCTATTTTATTTGTTGACGTGTGTCAATTCGTGCTTACTTTCTTCGATGGGTTTTATTTTTCTTGTTTTTGTTATTTTATGTGTGTGTTTTTACGTATGTTATCTTCTGTTTGTGTTTGTTATAATCAATGTGCTTTTTCTTTCTCGACTGGACCTTGTTTTTTATATTATTAGTGGTTTGGTGGCGGGCGCTCGTTTTTTCACTAAAGTTTTTATTGCTGTTGCTATGTTTGTTCTGTTTTCTGTTTGGCTGGATTTTTTGTTGTTTTTCATTTCGTATTCGTTGGTTTTTGTCTTATCTGTTAGTCAGGCTCATGTGTAGCTTTCCTTCGGTTACTTTATTGATATTGAACTGTTTTTGTTGCTTGTCATACCTGAAATGATCCCGGTTCTTATTTTCGATGTTTTGGTTCGTTTTTCCCTGAAAATGATCGTGTTTATTTTGCTGAATTGTTCGAGTATTATTGTTCTTATTCTTTTCTCATTTTTAATTTGCAAATTCTTATGCAGTGAAATGTCGTTATGATTTTTTTCTTGCTTGTGTTCCTGTGGAAAAGAAGTTTTGGTTTTATCATTTCTTTTTTTGGTTTTTACTGTTTTCTCATGGTATGCGTCTTTTTTCCCGGGTTTTGCTGATGATTAGCTAAGCAGTTATGTATCGTTCTTTTCGTGCTGCTAATTTATTTCTGTTAACTGTGGTGTATTTTAACTTAATCTATGTCTTTGTTGCCATTCGCTATTTTCATCTTTTTAGATTCCTAACTCTGTTAGCCCATGGCAAAGTACAAAGCAGCTATTTTGGTGTGCTGTTCATTTGTATGTTTATAGTTCTTACACATTTGCTGGCTTTCTGAATCAGGTTGCCTGTACTATGGCACAGCACGTCTTTTACGTTCACTGTAAATATTGCATTTTGTTTTAGTTTTTTGCTCGTTATGTGTGTTGTCGTTTGTGAAGTTTTTTTGTTTGTTTTTCTGTTGCATGTATTTCAGTTACATGTTTTTTTTATTGTTTTCTTTTTTGTTTTTATTACTGTAATTACTTTTTTTTCTTCGAGGTTAATTGGGATGTTTGAGGAAGGTGCAGCAAAACAAGGACCGAGCTCCCAGTACAGAGCACCAGAAAGTAAGGTAAGGCATTGGGGGTCTGGACCCTTTTTCATTTTGAACGATCGATGCTAGTCTGGGTTATATATAAATTTATTGTTAAAAAAAAAAAAAAATAAGTTTGCTCGTTCTCACTGTTTTTTCCCTGTTTTTGGCAGTCTGAGCCGACCTTAGAGCCTCGTTCCCGGGTATTGATTGTCTTTTCTTATGTTTTTAATTTTAAATTAATATTTTTTGTGTTGTATTCTTTTTTTTTTCTTATTTTATAAAAATTACCATCTATATACAATTTATTTATGTAGTGGTTTTTTGGGCTTAAGAAATCCTTAATTATTAATAATAATACATCTATTATTTTCCTATTATAGATATTAGTAATTTTTTTTATAATTGTAATACTTGGAAGGGCTCGAGGTCGGTTTTTCAGATGCTATAATGCAGGGAATCACAGGAAACGTACTTTTTTTTTTTTTTTTTTACCTTTTATATATCTCCCAGCATAGCATCGATCGTTCACTGAAAAAGGTCCAGAACCCCCAATGCCTTACCTACTTTCTGGGGCTCTGTCTGGAGCTCGGTCTTGTTTTCTGCACCTTCCTCATCATCCCAATTATCCTAGAGACAAAAAAGTGATTAAGTAAAAAAAACAAAAAACAGAAATTACAGAACAGCGAGACTTTTCACGATTGTATATGCTGCCCTAAAACAATGCAATATTTACAGTGAAGGAAATGTCTCCTGTGCTTGGCCATAGTTTGGTAGCCCAGTCCAGCCTTGTGTAGGTCTACCATCTTGTCCCTGACATCCTTGGACAGCTCTTGGTCTTTGCCATGGTGGAGTAGTTTGGAATCTGATGGTTTGATGGCTCCTGTGGACAGGTGTCTTTTATACAGGTAACACAATGAGATTAGCAGCACTCCCTTTAAGAGACTGCTTCTAATCTCAGCTTGTTACCTGTATGAGAGACACCTGGGAGCCAGAAATCCTGCTG